ACATGTATATTTCCAGTCTTTGGCTATGGCAGGAAGGATTGGAAGGAAAAATGGTGGCATAATATTCAAATATAGCCAGGAAACCCATGGCTCTATGGTTACATATGGCTTGATAGTCAATGATTGTTACAATGTAATACAATTAAGGGGAAGTAGATTGACATTTCCACTCACTCATGAAACTAATTGAATGACGTTGGCTTAACCTTCCTTAAAAAAGTTTTATGTGGATAAATTTCAAGAAGCATCATATGCAGCTGTTTGGAGACTTTGGAGAAAGGGCAAATGATAAAGAGTTGCACATTTTAACCATAACATTACTGAGGAATATTTTAAATTATTATCCAATTATAGGTTTTTGAAGAGAAATATGTTGTATTATTATATAAAATCAATTCTCAGTTTTACTTAAAAGCAAGGTGTGATGAGCCATCAGTTACGATTCAATAGATTCTTGGTGGGTTTATTGATTAAAATGTTATTCACCATATTCAGGGTGAATTTAACAATATACTGGTAAGGAGAACTTAATTCTTATCTGAGAAGGTATATTATATCCACAGTATTTGGTTTATCATAATGCATTTGACAGGTCTACTTCTGTATATGAATCCACTTAAATTTACAAATGAGAACCTCAGAAAGATACTTGGAGCACATGAAGTCTGTGCAAATCTTTTCCTCCTTTCACTTACGCTTAGAGTCTGATCTGTGCAAACTGAAACATAATCATGGCAATTTTGTCTAACACGCAAGTTAGATATGTTAAATTTTGCCATGGAGCTGGGGTAAATGGCTCTCAGTAGTTCACTACTTACAGGAAACATTACAATAAATGAAGAAGTCTGTGTTTTCTTAGCACCAAAAAAACAGTTTCATAAAGTTACATTTATGAGAAACATGGCCTAGCAGTTGCACTGCTTATACATCTTCATTTATAGTTCCACACTCAGTTTCCCTGTCATTTTTCTCAATATTCTAGACCCTGGGCAGTATTTAATGCTTAGACATTTCCCGCAAATGTTCTACTTCATTACACCATTCTGTATACTATACTTCGGCAACAAAGTGAATTAAACTGAATGGCACACAGGGCTGCTTCAAGAAGAATTCAAGGTGCATCTAGCTTGACAGTCTATTCTGATTTAGCCTGAGGCTGCATGAGAATCTCCCGCTGATTTGGAGAATGGAATCCAATTAAAGAAGAATGCATGTGACATTCTTTTAAAGGGGAGAAACTGGTAGAACTTTATAATCAAATATTTTTCTGACTTTCCAAAACATAGCCCCAAAGAGGGCAGAAAAGAGCAGAGGGAATGTAACCCTCAAGTTGTCTCTGTCATAAATGAGCAGTGCCTTTTTTGTCTGCTGGCTACATGACCTCAGTCAGTTGCAGATCATATTGTACAGCCAATGTCACGGTACCTCTTAAAGAACAACACTTGGTATCACAGAGTAAGTTTGTATTATCATCACGTTCAGTACTGATGAAAAGAAGTATGGTAATATAGGTACAGCAAGGTGGGCTGGAAAACTGCAACTTGAAAACCAATCAGCACTAGGGAGATGTGAAGTAATAGTTTGGTTTCGTATAAAGTCGCTTCCTGTGTTTTTACTACAAGGTAGTCGGATTAGTATTCACTGTCATCACAGCAAATGATGGTTTAACTGTGGTTATTTATTTGCTTTTAAAAAATGTCCAGGTTAGTGTATAGCAGAGGAAACAAACATGCTTCAAATCATAAATATCTGCCATTTCTCTGGGTTCTGTGCTCATGGGACTGTTTAGCATGATTGATATCCTCATTTACTTTTATTTACGAAGATCATGTGTATGTATATTTCTTTATATATGCAGATTACTTGTCTCCGCTGAACAATTGTTCAAGAGATTTGTGTCTATGGCTTAGCAGTGATAAAGGTCTAGCTTAAACTATATGACACCTGTTTATTAAGCTTTTCCCTGAGCTGTTGGAATAGATGGATGAATGTATGTTTTGTTTGGCTTGCATTTGGAAGTGTATTGCTAATCTAAACCGAACCTCCCAGGTGATATATGGATTATAACAGTCATCCTTCAGAATTCATATCAGAATGGTATATATATGTTCCCTTAAATTCTCAAAGCAGAAAGATACATTTACTACATTACATTATGGTAATCATTGTAACTAAAAATAACTTCAGAATTCTTATATTTAAAAAATAATTAAAAAATAGGTAGTATTTTTTAAAAAACTACTATTTTGATGAAATATATGTAGAAATGTATAATGAGTTATAGAATTAGTTTTGAAATACATACAAAAATTTAAAATGTTCATTTTAAATTTAAAAACAAAATATAATAAATTAATAGATGCAAACTGGAAATCCATAAATGGGTGAACAGAAGAATAAACTCCTTTATTTTTTAAGTCTGTATGTACCATTTAATACGTGGCTCTTGTAGCATTGTAGAATTTTGACATATGTTTTATTTCTACCAGTGTCTTCAAAGTAGAAAAAAATGAAATAACAACAACCTAACGCATTTTAGCTGGTACATTTTCTTCCTTTATAGAATTGACCATTGACATCTTGGTATTAAGTCAAGAAATAAATGTTTTAATTATATAAACAATGTATCATGTTTTTGCAGGTGAATGAGTTTTTGAAATCTGGTTGTCCGCTATGAAGTTTAAGAAAAGGGCAAGCTGAAATGTTATTTTTAGTTTAGCAACACTTTACCAGAAATTAAAAGAACAAAATAAAATAAGAATGGAAAAAAGAGTTCTGCAGAACTACTCTCCTCTATATGCACATTAGAGTTAGTATTGATTCAGTTATTCTCTATTGGAGATTCTCAGTCATCCAGATCATGACTGTCCCAAAGGTGCTTTTTCAAGAGGCAACTGGACTTTCTTTGAAGATGTTTCGCTTCTCTCATCCAAGAAGCTTCTTCAGAGCTGAAGAAGCTTCTTGGATGAGAAACGAAATGTTTTCAAAGAAAAACAAGAAAGTCCAGTTGATTCTTGGAAAAGCACCTTTGGGATTCCGTTATTGCTTGGAATGCAATAGGTTATAAATTCATCTTTTAGGCACAAAAACTTTCTTAAGATAGTAAAGAGTTACTGAATAAATATGAATTTTATATAGCAAATTTCCAAAGTTTTCAAGACAAATTAAGATGCAGTGTATAAGAAATTACTGCACAAGTTAAATTTAGCAGTAACTGGTATGGGGTGGGAGTGTCACTGGAAAAGAAAATCAGTTTTCAAATAGTAGTAGCATCCATAATGTTGTTGTTATTCACAGTCATAGATGTGCTCTAGGGATCAGCCAACCACTCAATTTGGAATTTAGTTCTAATATTTAAATATATGAAAGGATTAAGAATTTGCTACATTATAACTGAAAAAAGCAGTCCTTGTAGATCTGGTCCTTGTTTGATCCCTCTGACAAATCATTCACTTAATCTGTCACATACCTATCTCAGTTATCTATAAAGTCTTACCAAATGCAGTCTATATTGAAGATACCTTTTGGGTAAAAAGAGAAAACTAGAAAATTAAAGGAAAATTACTAATACAGCTTATTGTTACTGATTGTTTAATTAATATAACAACTGAAGTTAAGGAATTATTTGAAAGTTGAACCTGAATATATAGTTAATGACTGATGATACATTATAATTAAGACCATAAAATATATGAACTATGTATTGCCAATCCAAACTTCTTCATCAGTTCATGTGGTAGCCTTAGAAAAAGAACTATTTTCGCGCCCATATATACATATTGAAATATGAAAATAATCCTGATCCTATTTTATACAGTTCCCATAAGATCATGGTTTGTTTCCTTCCAGCAATTTTAGGACTACAATTTTCATCTTCCTCAGCCAGCATGGCCAAAATGCCAATATTCAAGAATAATAGGAATTGTAAACCAGCCCTACCTGTAAGAATTGCTTTGATAATGTTTGATGCCTAGTCTCAACCTTGGAGGGAGTGGGTGAAAATGTTTGTGTAGCTTTATTATTTATTTATCTATTTTTTATGCTGCCACCATCTGAAATATGCTTTCTGTCTTTAGGAAAATTGTTGTATACTAGACCACCCATATGTTTCAGAAATATTCAGAGTGACCATGGGTGGCCAAAAATTCAGTGCTAGCAGATGTGACTTCTAACTTTCTGTTGGCTTCCCCATTGAGTGTCCTTGTGGGAAGCTGGCAATGAGTGTCAGAAACCCTCCCTCCCTCTTCTTTCTTTCCTTCCTTCCTTCCTTCCTTCCTTCCTTCCTTCCTTCCTTCCTTC